CTCATTGACTTAATCAAAGTCACTATTGGCTCATAAGCAGGAAAATGAGTCAAGAGAAGGGGGAATAATCCAACCACCTGAAAAGTAACTGTCAGCTGGAACAGTACAATTGCTCTAGAAAATCCTAGCCCACAGCACAAAATGTTGCATTAAATAGTCATATCAAGCAAGAAAACAAAACTAGTAGCAGTTACTATGAAAGACATACCAGTCTGCTATTGCATACTGACTTTGAATAAAGTTAACCAAAACAGCCAGCAAGGGAAGCAAAGATTAAAGTAACAGGTTCAAAGTAACACTCAGAATCTACAGCCCATTTGCTGTATTCCAGTGCGTTTCAAAATACTACCACCCCCAAAAAAAGTGCTAAATATAGATACACTGCCTCTTTTCTGATTTAATCTTTGCAGACATTTCTTGTCTGAGCCTGTAAATCCATGCAAATGCACTCAAATAAGATTCTTTTCCTCTTCTCCACTCACATCAGTTTTATCAATTTATGTTGCTGTCTGCAATTGGGTGGAAAACATGAAGTACAGATGCTACCAGAAAGCAAAGCACAAGCCACCATGGACACAATAGCAAGTGTGGAAGTGCCAACGCCATGTTCATGTTCTAAGGGAAGAACACCACGGCACTCACCACCTTCCTTTTATTTTTTTTGTTCTTCTGGCACACAGACATTTTTCCAAATGTAGAACACTGATCAGGACTTCCACATAATGATTTTCTTCTTAACCCAATATTAAATGTGCTTTAATACAAAAAGATCCAAGATTACCTATGCCTTAATGATTTTTCCACCACGTATGAAAGCTTGTGCCCTCTCACATCAAATAATTTTGTTCCATTTTTAACCTCTAGATCTTTGAACTGACTTTACTGGTGACTTTATTCCTTCCTAGTACATCTTTATCTGAAAAAACTCATTAACTTGTTGGTTATATCATTAGCTAGTTACTAATCAAAGTGTTAAATTAGATCAAACATTGACCTGATTTCCATGAGACCCCACTACATATCTTTCGTGCCATTCACATCTGAGTACAACACGTTGTTGCTTATTATTATATTTCATTTGCAGTCTTTCAGACAGTTTTCAGTCCTTGGGTTACTCAAGCGAGTTTCCATTAACTTTTCAATGAGATTTCGCAAATCAATTTTTTTAGTAATTCCTGCCATCAAAAATGTTCCTGCTTTCCTTTTGTCAGCTATTTATTATATGATATAAAGTTTATGTTTGCCTGATATTCTTTTTTTCTTTCCCTACTCTATTTATTGCTCAGTAAGCTTGGAGTATTTGTAAAAGCATTGTTTCAGTATGTTACCAGAACTTATAGTTTGGACTCTTGCACAGTGCTGCAATTTTCAGGATCATGCTTTTTGATCAGCAGTACATTTATTGTATCCCAGTGGCATCTTCACAAGTCTCCATGACTTTTCATAAATCACTGCAGGTGGTGTGGTCCATACCATTTGGAGCCTGGGATGCATACACTTAGAATATTTGATCTGTACTCTTTTCCCATCCTGAACAAAATGCTTTCTTACCAGGTCCAATTGCTCTTTAGACAAAAACCTTAAACGTAAATTTTATTCTTCTGGGATTTACTAAGTGCTTTCATTTCCTATAATAATAATTAATAGTAGTTTTAAATAAAAATTTAAATTAAAAATAGCTTTTAGAGTATATGTATACCTTCGAACAGCATTAGTAATACATTTCCTTTTTTTCCCCTTGTTTTCTCCATTGTTTCATACTATCCCAGTATCTTTAAAATTTATGCATATTCTGGTTCACCCTCCTTTCCCAATATCATGACCAGGCTCATATTTACTCTATGTGCTTTGGATGAAAGACGATTGTATAAGAAAGATCCTCCAGCACTTGGGAAACCAAGCTAGAAATCCTAAGAGCATTTTTTCTGCAATTCAGACATTCATAGAAGAATAACTGAATAACTTTATTCATGTTTTTTGTTTGTTTGCTTTCAATTTGAAGACAGCACAAGCTCTCATGTGTTCTGTGCCTTCACTTCCTGAGGATTTCTAAAATTGTTTTTGTAAGACTCAAAGTCTTAACTTGTGTTGTTCACAAAGTCAAAAACACATAAATGCGTCCTGTCCAAAAATTCTCCGTGTTTTGGGGTATAAGCTTCCATGTTACAGTTCTCTCACGCTAACATTTGAGCCTCTTGAGATTTTTAACAAGCCAATTATTTGTCAATTTAAGATGCAAATCTTGCTTTTTTCATAATAATAAATTAAGATACTACACATCTTTTTCTTTTCCCCTCCCATCTTATGCATTTACTTAGGAAGTAGCTCAAGTTGAGCTTTATACCTAAGAAGATTCCCTGTTAATTTGATTCCCTCTTGTCACCTAAGCAAGTTAACCTCCTTGATGCATTTCCACCTGTAGTCATCATCCAAACATAACTTTGCAGTAGATTTCCTGTTGTTCATATAGTATCCTGGAGTATTCAGCTCCTTGCAATTAACATAGTAGTTTTCCATCCACACTCTTCCTGTCCTCGGGTCTGCAAGAGGGAGCCACTTCAGCTCATTTCGTACAATTTCCCTACAGCCTGCGTAAAAAAAGTATCTTGGAAATTTCATTCTCTGTAGCAGCTATAGATCCCTGAACTGTTAACATTTAGGGTTATAACTTCAAATGTGTGGAAACTTGCAGAATGTGTAGAATACAGTTACACTGAAATCTTGTTTTAGGGTAGTCAAAAATAGAGTGCTTTGGCAACATGCCTCATAGTACTATAATAGTAAAGAAACCTTTGGTTAATATTCCTGTCTAGCTCTAAAAAATTCTTTTTTTTTTTTTTTTTTAAGCCCAGGTTAGCTTTGGAAGCTAAGCTTGAAATTGGTGATCAATTTAAAGTATTGACAGGAAATTAACAAAAATTCCATTCAAATGCATAAACATTTTTTTTTTTTCCCCCTGAGGGAATGTTATAAATGAGTAGAGAAGCTACCATTAGAGTAATGAAGTGTATGTTCCATTCATTTACATTTCTGGATTCCTTTTTGCTGTTTTAAATTCTTTTTCTCCAGGTATTACTTTTTTTATAATTAAAATTTGATGTGCAGCTAGCAATACCTGATTTTTATTTTTATTTAAAATAATATCTTGCCCCCAACTGTCATTTGTTAGCTGCAGTTCTTGTGATCACTCTGAAGCAAGGAAGAAATGCTCCTATCTCTACAGTAAGCACTGGGAATACTGTAAGTGCTGCTAAAGTACACGTTAATAATGACAAGAGTACTAACTTTATCTGAGCTATTTTCCTTAGTTGCTCTTCAGAATCAGTTCACCCATCTAACATTAATGCTTTACTAACATCCACCAATAATTTGCCAAAATATTTAACTTTAAAATTGACAAATATGTCTTGGCTGCACATACTTAAATACTAAAAGAAATCTGGAAAGCAAGCTGTATGCTGCGTGTGTGCATTTTATATTTACACAGATATGAAACCTCATCATGTGCATTATCGTCAGTCTATAAGCATTTCTCACATTCCATAATGTTTTAGCCAGGAAAATCAGTATCACTTAAAAGTGGACCCCTTTATTCAGCGATGTAGTATTTCAAGTAAGAGGCAGCAGCATAAGAGCCTGAAACTTTCAAAATAACCAATAACAAGAAACAAGAGATAGAGTCTCTATGACCCTCCCCTCCTTCCCCCCATAGGGGGAATACTTATGGGGTTAGATTGGATCTTTCGTCATAGTATGTCTTGTTTCATGGTCACACTACTCAATTATGTAAATAGCGGCTTTCACCAGAACCTATCTAGTGCCCACAATCCTTAACAACACAAATCTTTGTGAGTTAAGACTTGAACGAATTAAGAGCTAACACAAGGTTAGATGGATATAGTCTGTCAAGAACCAGCATGGCTTCTGTAAAGAGCAAACCTACCCACAAGCCTGTAGGGAGTTTCAGCAGGTAACAGTAAGTGGACGTAAGTAAGTCAAGATGTACAGTAAGTCAACTAATGTCAACTTTCCAATGCCCATGGAGATGAGTAAGAAGAACAGCCCACCAAAGATCACTGCTGCAACCAGTTCTATCCAATATCCTTAACAATGATTTGCAGAAGGTGGTTCACAGGGTAAGCGCACAATAGACATATGATACCGAACTCTTTGATAGTAAGGAACTCTAAATAGTTCTCATAGAGTGTGGAAAAGATAGCAGATGCTTAAATATATATAGATAGATGCCTAAATATATATTAATACATATTAAAAACATTGTATATATAAATACATACATGTAAAGAAACAACAACCCAAACCATCTACCATTAATCCAGATCTGAGAATGACTATGTAGGAAACAGTTGTTGAGTCATCATTGATAATTCTCTGATGTCATCAGCTCAACACACAGCAGGACTCAAAATGAAACAACGAGATGTTGGGCACTCCTCAGAAGAGGTATTAAGAGTAAGGCAAGTCTTGTTTATAAAAAGACCTTCTAAAAACCTTGGCAAGTCCACATCTTGAGCAGCACATGTGACTCCACATCTCAGGAAGGACATATTTGACTTTTATACCAGAGAAATACAGCAGAAACCATAGAAGCACAGACAAGGGCAACAGAAATGATTAAAGTGTTGCAGCAGCTGCTATGTAACAAAAGATGAAGAAGGCTAGGACTCTCTAATTCAGAGAGAACAATACAAAGGGAATGTGATTGAGCTTTAGTAACTCCTGAAAGTAGCGAAGAAGTAAACACATAACTGTTACTCACTAAAATGCATAATACTAGAACTAAGAACTACTTGATAGAACTAACAAAAGAACAAAAAAGCAAATAAAATAGAGTACCTCACACAGACAATAGCACTTATTATTACTTGTTATTACATCTCAAGGTTGTGGAGGCAAACAGCATCTGAAGATTTGGAAGAAGACAAAAACTCATTCAGTAGGTACATAAATGGAAATTAAGATGATAAGGAAGATCTTACCTTCCAATACCCTAAAACAGTGGTTCTGAGATATTGAAGAGAAAGAGGACAAAGACTAGACCCCATAAAACAGTGAGGCTCAGGTGCTTTCCCTAATTAGCACTTCCCATTGCCTGCTCTTAGACCTTGAAAATAACCTAACTGGGTGGCCCATTGATCTGACTCAGCTGATGTTCTTAATCCACTTCACCTTTTACCCTGAGAAATTCACTTCAGTTTTTGGAACCATGAAAATGCAATTACTAGTACAAGCAATCACATGTTTACCAGGCAGCATGTTAGTTAAAGTAATATATGTCATTTCAAAGTGAAATGGAAGAGTTTACTTAATACAAGGAACAAAAATAATGTATTTAAAATAAGTAATCATTTTAGTTTCAATATAAAAGATGTTTGCATTCCTTTAGAAATACACACTTTCTGTCACAAAGGCATTTATTTTTATCAACTGAGAAGTAATATTATGCATTTTAAAAACAATATATTAAATGTGTCTTTATGATTCTGCACTGACTTTGATAAGTGTAAGATTGTTAAATTCTAGCTTGTGTGTCACTTTGTGTCACTTTTTGGGACTGTTGGGTTTTGTACCTGCGAAAAAAGAAATTTGACAGAAAACACGCCATCTCCCAAACTACTTTTCCCCAAATAAACTGGAAGAAACATAGCAATGAGTGTGACCTGTTTATGAAATGACCATATATTAAAAAATCAGTCATAGTTATTTCTGACCTTTAGCAACATGTTATTAAAGATTATGATGTAACTAAATTGGTGAGGTTTTTCTCTTAAAAGAAACGAATTAATTCTGTGTACTTTTGATATTGGATGGCAATGTTTTCTCTCTCAGAGAGAGAAGTATTTTCAAAAGGATAACAACTCTGGTTAGTGAAGAGCAAAACACAAAAACTATATTCAGATAAAACCTCTGGTCTCTTGTCTGGATTAAAAATCAGAAACAAATGGATTTGGTCCAGATTAATATTTCCCAGTTTTTCAGGTCATAAATATATCTTCTCTTGTTTTTGGCATTGTGCATTTCAGAAAAGCCTTTATATATTGCTTTATATTTCTACACCACACACAAATATTGTAAGTACTGAACAGAGTTAGCTATAACAAAACAGAAACTCTACCGTTCTAACACAGAAAAGCAGACTGTTGTCCAGGATTATGGAAATGCTCCCAACACAGATCTCTTACTAAGCAATATTATTTCTTGTTTCTTCTTTGTTGAAAATGGCACTACTGAAGAGTTAGATGTTTGATGGTCACATTTTGTCTTTTCTCATATACGATGCACAATTTCTAAAAATGTATTGCAGTTTATAGACAGTAAATCTAGCACTGATTTATCACTACTGACACTAAAGAGTATAGAACCACTTTTCAAACCCATCTCTCACATTTGTCTGTACCTGAAATTAATAAAAGTGGAAAAGATTAAACTCCTTGTCAGGAACAGAATATTAGCAATGTGCTCTGCTGTAAACAGACTTCACTTTTATGTCATAAAAATAAAATAATAATAATAACAATAACAATAACAATAACAATAATAATAATAATAATAATAATAATAAAAAAACAACCCACATAATTAACTATACATAATTAAACTCATTAAACTATGTTTGTTTGTTTGTTTTTGTGCTAAGCACTAGATTTAGTGGAAGTTTCAGGTCCAGATCTCTGATAGAATTATTCAAGTTCAAGTGCCTCTCCAGAGCTGGTAAAACTATTTAATCCTCTTGCAGTCCGACTGTAGTCAAGTCAGTAGACACGAAAGAGGGAACTTTGAAGTCAGAAAAGTCACTTGGTGTTTGGTCTTTCAAGAAAAAAGCCTAGGGAGTCTAATAGGACAAAGCTCAAATCTTGTGGTCTCATTTGAAATTAAAGATAACAAAGACCCATTAAATATGCATAAATTCATAGATGAAGGTGGAACCTTGAATCAACAAATTCTTGTGTTTACACAGTAGGATTAATTTGAACATTCAGATATACTGACAGCTTCTGTAGATCATGACCTCTAACAGGTAGCAGCAGAAGTATGCCAGAGACAGTAGAACAGATGTTAAGTACTACTTGAAATTAGGTTGGGTCAGAAACTGTCTAGGAAAAGAGCATCTATCACTGACCTGGACACTGAAAATGGCAGTTTTTCACACCAGTATACCACACCAGGGAAAATGTTCTTTGACATCTTCATTTTGATTTAAATAAAATCCATATAGATGGATGTAAAGAAATGTAGGTATTATACTATTTAATTCTGACATTTCTAAATTTTCAAACAAAAAATATTTTTTTTTAAAAAAGGCCATTTGAGAATACTTGCTTTAGTGAACAAAGTGGTTTATTATAGTCCTGTGCCACCTGGTTTGCGATTAGCAGTTATAAATCATGAGAAATCATTGACCCAACATATTATTATGATGGAGAGAACACAAATATCTGTAATGACCATAATTAGACCTTTGAAAATTGAAATAAGCAAAATCATTAAAGCAGTCAATTTGTGAGTCAGACAACCACTGAAACTACTCACTAGTTTGTTTGCACTATGTAACTCAGTTACATAGGCAAATTGCAGTTCATAACACACTATGCAGGCATTTTACAGGAAACCATGTTTAATTCGCTCCTATACTGGCTTAAGGATACCACCTGCTGTGGTTCAAGTACTGCAGCAATACACTGCAAAAAGATAGGATAGAACAGCCAACAGACCAGAAGCCTTTTGAATAAAATACATAGTCCCAATTCACAAAAATGCAACCAAGTAATGCAAATTGGCACATAAGGAAGTGGCATACACTATACCACACAGCTATTGTTTGTCACCTGAAGAGTTGTGATCCTGGGCACCGCAAAAGAGACGGAGCCCACGTTGACTGTGTGAATTTAAATAATGCTGAGTGGACATATATTTCTAGAAGAAAAAGGTTAAAAAAAAAAAAAAAAAAAAAGATACACTTTAAATACAGACTAAACAGAGAAAAAAGTGGACTATTGCTCTGGAAAGCATTGGCTGACAGCACACAGATTAATGATCATGAACTCAAATCATCCATGAAACACCATGAGTAATACAATCTTTGCATATATGTATATAAACAAAAATATCTGAGAATATTATTATGTATAAAGGTATATTCTGACAGAGACCCTGCAGTATATCTTGCTCTTCTGCTCATCAGAAAGATCTCTAAATAGTTCTGGAACTTCCTTCTCATAACAGACACTCAAGGATTGTGAACAATATTGAAAGAAAGCCACAAACAAAAAATGAATACCTAAGGACCTGTTTTACAATTAAAGATTCAAAGAACTCAAGCTGTTTCTTTTAACAACAAGTAAGAGGAACAATTTGATTGCTCTATGGAAGTATCTCTATGGAGAGAGAAGCAAAAATAGGTAGGAAAGTGCTCTTTAATCTAGCTGAGAAAATGAAACAAGAAGTAAAGGTTAGAAGGTAAAGTGACACATATTAAAATTCAAAATTAGGCACACGTTTCCACCCCAACCAATTAGCAAGTACATCAGTAAATTCTTTTCCTACTGATGCCTTTTGAAGAGCTCTCTTCTAATTTGAAAAGACACAATTATATATGAATTTCTGATCACTGCTGCTTTCTTACGAATAAAGATAAAATAAATGATTTTATAAGATTAATGACCATCCTCTATAGAAGGAACAGGGAAGAGGAGTGCCATTGTCTTCAGTCCTTTTACAGAGCTAGCAACTTGTTGAAATGTAAACTTAACAGAAGTTTCAGTAGACTTGCCATAGTTTAAATGAGTCAAATTATCAAATTATCAGTGGTGTTCCCATGGAAAGAACTTCACTGAGAACAAATAAAAGCCTGAAGTTTTGAGTTGCTTAGGGTTTGGGGCATTTCAGTTATGGCTTCACTTATGTATGAAGTTTCTGAGTACTTTTGACTTTGGTACTTTCAAAAACAGAAGTGCAAATTCTTAACATATCTTATAAAAAGACTTCTGCCATGTAATGTCAGTCATGTTTCATCATAATGAAATAGCTCAACAGTGACTGAACAAACTGGAAAAAAAAATAATAATCATTAAAAAAAAGTCAAGTTTTCAGTAACATTAGGCAGACAACATTAACAGATTATATTCCACATTGTCAGTTGTAACAAGAATAATAATTGAAGTCAATTGCCAAATCCAAAGCAATGTAATACACGTAAGTATTCTAGCTAAAAGGTTTCTAGCCATTTTTCAACTACATTCACAGGCTTAAAATAAGTTGATGATCTAAAAGTAGAATCTTTAAAGAACAGGAGAGTAGAACAATTTTGATTAACTGATCATTTATTATATGCTAAGCGTGGAAAGATGAATACTGTGGAACTCAAGCTGTTCTGCACTTTCCTAGTTTTATTGCATCATTGAGAATCTAAACCAGACCAAATTGGTTAAATCATTTTATTTACTGCAATATTCATTTTTTCTTTGCTCATTTTTGTGCTAGTGTCTTTGACTAAATTTGTCTTCCTGGTTGAGGTAATGCTATTCCACCACTAATAATCGGAAAAACAGTCTTTTTCACCTCTTTCCATGAGATACATATTATATAGATACACTAAGCTATCTAGTTGCATCACTTTTCTTCCTTCTTTTTCTATGAATTATGAATTTCCCTTAGGTACATCAATATTTGACTACACAACTACACAAAATCTAAAAAGTTAGCTCTAAATTAGGCAAAATAAATTTATTCTAAAGCAATCTCTATAAATTACATTAACTCTGGAATTTATCTTAATTCTACAATTTGCTTTCTTTTTTTTTTTATTTATTCCCATAAATGTGAATTTTACATTTTCACAAAATTTTGATTCTGTGGCTATTCAGTCACCTATTCCACTGGCTTTTTTGAGTTATGCAGCCACTGAACTGTTTGACATGAAAGTCAAACTGTTCACTGTTGCTCAAGTGTGCCTGCCTTGCAGCCGCCTGGTTGTGAGGAGCTTCTGATGCTCCAGATATCCAGTAATCCAACAGTGGATGTCAATCAAGAGCTGCCTTAGCAAAAAATTGCACATATCCTTAAAGAGAGAAAAAGAGCTGCAAACTGTGGCTTTTCTACTCCTTCTCCCCTGTCATTCTCAGTGACCAGACTAGTGTCTAAAAACCCAGGAACAGCGCAAAATAAAAAATAGCACGAGAAACAAGGTGTACCTTTTGTTGAATAATCTTTATCACTGTTATTTGCCTGGTGTTAGCAAATTACATGAAAATATTCGATGAGAAACTTAAAGATACTCTGAGAATCTTTTCAAAAACTTTGACATGAAAAATGTGTGTGCTGCATGTGGGGAATTATGCTTGGTTTTAAAGCTCCACAGTTGAACACACTTCGGCACTCTGGAGTTTGCTCTGTCTTCAGTTATTTTGTTCCAGAATATTGCCAGAAAGAGCAAGATTATCAAATTCTTTGATTTGTATATTGCTTCTTTAAAAGTTATACCAAAGTTGTATCTTGGAAATTCAACTGTTTTCTAATCTACAACTAAATTAACTAAATTAATAAGAGTGAACAGAGTGAAAGAAAGGCTCTTACTCTTACTATCCCTTTAAGTGGAAAGTTCAATTGATTAATACTATGGAACCAGTAACAATACCCCTATCAAACTCAAGAAATACATAGTTTAGGGTCCAGAAATCTGGGTGATGTTTTTGAGTCAGGTAAGCTTGGATATAAAATTTTAGACAGCCTAAACCATCTAAGGAGATTCAAAACTGAAGAGCCATAGGCTTTTCTCCAACAGAGAAATAAAATGTTTCTCATGGGCAACAAATTGCTTTTTAAATTTTGACACATGCCATTGAAATCTTGTTTAATTTCTTGACTGTGGAAAGTAATACACCAATCTGTTCCCCCCGCCCCCCCCCCCCCCCAAAAAAAAAAAAAAAAAAAAACAGACAAAAAATATATATACATGTATGTACATATGTATATCAGTTTCTAGCAAGTAATCAAATTTTCAGCCTCCTGGCAAGTTATGATTAAGTAGCCAAAGGGGGAAGAGGGCAGATTACTGGTGATAATAGGACTGCTGGTCAATTCCCATTTAAAGAAAGAATAACTTCTTGACTAAATCAAGCATGATGTTCTAGAAGAGACTTTCTCCAGTCTCTCACAGTCTACTAATTATCATCAGATAAAACAGTCTCCAAAGTCAAAGAAAGGTAACTGTATGCTGACATCATCTTCTTCTGTTCTAGGGAAGAATATATATGGCAGGAGACTGACCCAATGTGATGCCTGTTACTGAAATTGAATGAATAACCTCATGGAAAGAGTAAGAGATACCAAGTTGCCATAACGAAACTTGCTCCAGACTCATGACTCACAGTAATGGTACTTACAGCATCAGGTCTTCTGACTTCCTCACTTACAATTATCCACTTTTCATCCATCTGTGGGGAACAGAGGTCGTGAATGAGAAATTCAGTCTTGTGGAGTGTTTTAATTCATTACTTCCATAAAAGGGGAATTTGTGTTATAAAACAGTCCTCTCCTTTTCTTTGCTTGATACTATACTCCCACTACCTCAGGAAGCAACCCATACTTGGCTTTTTGCTAAAGACTTTTGTGATACAGCACAGAAGTCCTACTCTGCATCAGCAAATTGTGACACATTTTTTTCCTTACCCAGGAAGTCATTCCTGGGACAAAATATGTGAAGAGAAGAGAAATCATGGGAGATGCTGACATGCATTGGAACAAGTAACTTGTGCAGGGTTCTAGGACCTGCCTGAGTACATGGGGACAGAGAGGATTTAGCAAATAGGGAAAATGTGAGATGGGTGTGTGATTAATTGAAGATAGTATTGGACTGCAATTCTGGTTTCAGAGCTGTAGGAGTAAATATAAGGGTAGAAGAGCTATAGTGAACTTGGGAGAACAGATGTTTTAGATGTCACTGCTGGTATCCGAGAATAAGAATAGAATTTCCCTTCATTTGTTTCATTTCTCTAGAATATTCGCAACTGTAAATCATAAGCAACCTTACATCTAAGCACCATCTGAGTACACTGCAATAGAGTATATGAAAACGTAAATTCCCAGGGCAATCTTGTCAACGAAACAGACTTCCTTCTAAAGTGGCCAAATGGAATAATGTTGGAAACGTGGTCAAGGAGGAATGAAACGTTGAAATAATACAGTCCAAAGGAAACTGCAAGATTGGAGAGGTTTTCCTATGTTAAATGTTTCAGTTTGTACTCCATTTTTTTTGAAGGCCATTCAGCTACATTTTCTGCTTTCAAAACATTTTGACTAGAAACATAAATCAGCTGACAGAAATAAACGCAAGTGAGCTGAGGTTTAGATTTTATAGCAATATTGATACAAAGCAGTGGGCATTCCTGGGAACGTTGGCACTTGGCCTGGGAGACAGTATTTTGAAAGAGTTCTCAGAATCTTCATACATCTAAAGACATATTTGCTGCAAGTAATAAATGAGGAAAGTAGAATGGGGGAAAAAATAAAAGAGGTTCTCTCCACGGAAACCACGAAATAACAATTTCTCTTGCTACATTCCAGGGCTGTTAACTTGCTGTAAGCCTCAGAGCCAATGTAAGTTCTAATGAGAGATGTAGGGGAAGATAAAGTAATGCCTTTATAGGTTTCTTCATCTTATTACATCCTATCATGCACAAGGGGAGTGTATAGGAAAAACATGTTGACATTTGATGTTTTAACTGGTGACACAGAAGCTGAATTATGTAGCATGAAGGATAT